TTACAATACCTTTCATATTTTAACTTTTGTACCAATACATTTAACCTGTATGGAAAGCATTCAGTCCTAAAGCTAAAATCCCTTCTAACATGTGTAGCATCAAACTGAAATAAAAATTAGAGATGGATACCATAGGTTTTAGCCCATTATCCAACTCAAATTATGTATACAAATAATACATACAAAGTCACACTCATTCTGGACTCAGTGATTTTAAATTTTAATTCGCCTAAGTCAAAACACTAGTCCACAATAAATTATGTCACTTATAGAGGTCATAGAACTTGTAGGTGTAGATATCCACAAATATAAATGAGAATTCAATATTTCCTTTATCTTTTTTTCTTTTCTTTTGGGTGTGGGGGAGTCATATTAACTGTCAGTGATAGAAAAAAGAAAGAAAAAGCAAAAAGGAAAAAAAAAAGCTTGCATAATGCAAGAAAAAGCAAAGAAGCAAGGAGCTTTCTTGATAAGAAACTTCATAAACCCTAAAAAGTACTCAATTCACATAATTAGGCTAAAAAGTAAGATTAGGTGAAGGTTCCAAATGATAAGACAAGCCTCTATGACAAAAATTGGTATAAACAAGTCATTCTATTTTTAGGCGGCGTTAAAGTACCAATATTGTCATTCCTATCATATAATTAAATGAGAGCTGGTGAGAGTCACATATTTTTCATATTATCCCCCCATAAAAATGTGTAGTTTTACATCAAATTGGTCCTAACAAGTTATGTCAGTAAGAATAAGATGAAAATAATAAAGATTAAATTGGTTTTAAGTATAAAAAATGTAGCATTTCTTTCTTAACACGCTAAAAATGCATGCAACATAAAATGAAATGGATGAAGTAATAATAAGAGCAAGGCAAATATAGAGTCATTGACTGAGACATCCAATCCTGTGCATGAAGAACAAGAGGCCTGACTGGTGTCTGCAGCATTTATGAAATGATTTGTTAAGGCAATGACAGGTCGAGTAATTCTTATGGAGGAGCGAAAAAGGAAAGAAAGCTCGCTCATCCGAGAAGGGAGGCTCCTTGCACACTGGGGGTGCTATCAGCATCGGGATAATAAAAAGAAGATTGATAATTGCTTAAATCATTTTACTTTTCTAAGTATATCAATTCTATTTATTAATTAAATTAATTTATTTTCAGGAAAAGAAGTACGGGCGTCCAATGAGTCATGATGAGCTATTCAAGAGAGACGCGTACTTTAAAGAAGAAGAAAGAGGGGGATGGAGATAGGTGGGCCGAGGATCGGGTAGAGACTGCATATATAAGCTTTCAATTTTCTTTAAGTGTTATAATTTACTTTTATAAGAATTTTTAAATACTAATTTAATTTAAAATATTGTAGGGTCGCTACTAAAGTAACGTGGAGGAATTTATTCGTAGTCAGCCAGCTGATGAATCGGGCAAACTAACCCAACCTTCGGACGAGGATGCTGAAAGAATATGGTTGGAGGCTGTTGGCGGTCCAAAATGGGGGAAGGTATACGGGCTTCCTACAAAAAAATTTTATCGCTATAGGTGTGGAATACATGGAATAGGGACTTCCTCACAAGGCGAAGAACTTAATAGGGAGAGCCTCTCGGCTATGCGGGAGACAGTGGCAAAGCTTACATCCGAGCTAGTAGCGGCCAAGGAAAGAGAAAGGCTTAGAGATACTCAATTCCTTGGTATAAAAGCTCAGCTTAGAACTCTCTTTTCTACTAGAGCTTTTCCGTTGCCCCGGTCTCGTGAGTCATCGCCAGAGGCTCGACCTCCACGTGATCGTTCCTCTCATCCTCCTCGTGATCGTTCCTTCTGTCCTCCCCGTGATCGTTCTTCCCGTCCTCCACAAGACCGTTCTCTATACCGTCTTGTAGATAAAAGTTCATCAGACGGTGATGATGTTGTAGAAAACACCCCTTGACCAATACTTTTATATATTTTGAACTAGACTAATAGAACCAGTTTTGAATTAGATTGAACAATTTTGAACTTGTTGTAATTAGTTTTTGCTTGGTTTTGGATTGTGATGTTCAATTGAACTTTAATTTGTTAGTTTTAAAGTATTAATTGGATGTTTGGATGTTTGGTTGTTGTTGTTGTTGTTGGATATTTGGTTGTTGTTGTTGTTGTTGGATATTTGGTCGGATTTGTGGTGAATTAGGGATTGTATGTGGTGAATTGGGGGTATTGGTATGCTGTAATTTTTTGGCAGGTGGTGTAGCTATCAAAACAGGCATTTTCTACCAAAATTAAACCCAGAAAACCGACCAACCTTGGTCGGTAACTAATAAAAAAAAATTAATTGCACATTACCGACCAATGTTGGTCGGTTAATGTACAATGAATTCCCAGAAATTTAACATTACCGACCAAATTTGGTCGGTTTGTTGCCTGCCCTATCCAGTTTACCGACCAATTTTGGTCGGTATTTTTAAATTTTAATTATTTATAAAAAAATATATTTTCCAGTACCGACCAAAGTTTGTCGGTATTTTTAAATTTTAATTATTTATAAAAAAATATATTTTTCAATACCGATCAAAATTGGTCGGTAGGCAAAATTAATAAATTTAATACACCGACCAAGTTTGGTCGGTAAAATTAAATTATTAAAATAATATTCTGACCAATTTTGGTCGGTATGTCAATTAAATTGTCAAATGGTCGTGTATGACATACCGACCAATGTTGATCGGTAATTTCCGACCAACTTTGGTCGGTATACTATTCCGACCTTCAAAATACCGTTCACACGTGAATAGTCACGTTTTGGACGGTTATTGGCTATTACCGACCAACTTTGGTCTGTTTTTTTGGACGATTTTTTTCGAATTTCTAATAGTGCATGCCTCTATGACAAAAATTGGTAAACAAGTCATTCTATTTTTAGGTGGCGGTATTTAATTGGACACAAAATTTAAAAAATAAAGTACCAATATTGTCATTCCTATCATACAATTAAACGAGAGCTGGTGAGAGTCACATATTTTTCATATTATCCCCCTCATAAAAATGTGTAGTTTTACATCAAATTGGGCTTGACAAGTTATGTCAGTAAGAATAAGATGAAAATAATAAAGATTAAATTGGTTTTAAGTATAAAAAATGTAGCATTTCTTTCTTAACACGCTAAAAATGTATGCAACATAAAATGAAATGGATGAAGTAATAATCAGAGGAAGGCAAATATAGAGTCACTGACTGAGACATCCAATCCTGTGCATGAAGTACATTCAAAAATTGCCCATTGTAACATAGCTTCTTCATTCAATAAGGAATTCAAAAGGCACCAATATTGAGAACATTAAACACTTATCCACCAACTGCATATTGGGAAAAGCACTCAGAAAAGGTAAACCACAAGGAAAATATTAATCCGGACTCCTTATTTAAGCCAAGAAACAATTTAGCAATATCATAGTTACAAATTTAAAATGAAGACATATACATATATGTAAAAAATGCATTTGTTATATTATTCATTGTTTCTTAAGGCGAGTGTCTGTCCGAAAAACCCATCTACCTTTATAAGTTAGGGGGTAAGGTCTGCGTACACACTATCCTCTTTGGACCACACTCATAAAATTACATCGGGTTTGTTATTGTTGTTGTTGTTGCATTTGTGGTATTAATTTGCTTGGTGCAGACACTGAATTTGAATAAATTTTTTGCAATGTTAGACCATATCTTGAACTTAGGATAAAATCGAATTTCAAGAACAAACTTTTTCCAAACAGGAACTTTCTGTCAATATGAATGATAGTAATGTCAGGTGGTTTATTTCTAAACGCCCCCACCAGTGAAAGGGAAGGCAAATAATAGTATCAGATACTGAAGGCCTTCTTCACCTTTTATGTTGAGTGGTCCATTGATGCAAGTAAATGTCGATAAGGACCTCTGGTAGTCTTATTGTGCATAACAATTTCTAAAAGCACATAGTAATACAAAGCTGTAAATGCTGACCACAGAAACTATAGAGAAATATCATAGGCTTATAGAATGGCAGATCCATGTGTATTCTGCAGGTTCAACAGAATCTATGGCTTCTGACTTGAATTCTATAAAGGGCATCATGTGTTCACGTAGGGTACGTGGAAGAACCACCTTAAGGGGTGTGATATAGACAGAATAATTAATGCAAGCATTAGTAACTAATTACATAACTCGAACTCGTAATCTATAACTCACGTGAAAACGACTTTAATGTTGTTCCAAGCTCCTCTTCTAACGTGTACTCTATAAGAAAGTGAAAAACAAGTACAAGTAAAATAAGACAGAGATTTTAGAATCCACACTTTCAACTCAAAACTTACCTAACTTTTGGATATAGATTTGATTGAAACTTGAAAAAAGAATTTTTGAAGTTGTATTGAAAAATAATTTTTGAAAGTTGAAGTTGTGTTTGAACATACATTTTATTTGAAAAAAAGTTGAAATTTTGTGAGTGGAAGAAAAATTCACCCAAAAACTGCCCTAAACCAGAATTTGATAACCTAAACAATTTTGAATTTGTTTTTCAAAATATGATCATATTTCATAAACAAGAATGTTCTCAATTTTAAAAAAAAATATATGAAGCCAAAATCTGTGGCCAAACGAGAGCTTAATAGTTTGTAACTTTTGAATTCATTTCTTCAGGGAGATTAGAAAAAACTTACTATGAATTCGATACTAGGCTTATAAATTTATTGGGTACAAAGTTGTCCCTTCTTTACATGTTGGTAGAATGTATCCTTTTCTCTGATCTTTGGCTGAGGGGGTATGAGAAATGGATTATGATAAAGCAAAATGAGATCTTTGGCTTTCCCCTTCTTTTCTTCTTCTCTCTTAATAATTTGTCTTCTTGACTGAAAAAAAGCTTAATTGCAGCCAACGTTGTCGGTGCACCTTTTGGTTTTCATTAATCTTCTATATAATACAACCACCAATTTTGACGAAAGCACTGCCTTGTTCAGAGGGGGATGGAGATGAAAATCTAAAATGAGAAACTATCATCGTTCAGTTAGTCAAGGGAGAATGTCTGATATAAATTTCAAAATTTAGTCCACCATGATATGAGATATGAATAAAGATTATTTGAGGCACAAGTCGTCTGTCTTCCAGTACTCTTAACTACACTAGAAATATCACAGAATTTACTTAACCTCTTACCTCTCATGCTCTACTATCCTATGTTCTTTTGCCTGTATAACTGTATTCTTTTGCTTTCACAAACAAAGCTTGTTGGAAGAAACATCCTAGCTCGAAAACTAGAAACACAAATTAAAAATCACAGAACATCTCTCTGTTAGCATCAAGTGAAAGTATCCTCCATTCTCCCATCAGATTCTTCCTTTTGTAATTTTTTGCGCTGGCACCAACATAGATGCTGAGGGATGGGACCTTCATTTCCGACAACCCATTCGTGCTCGGACACACTCTTGAGTGTTATCCTTTGTGCTGGATCTGCACGAGCCAGTACTTGTTAGGAGAACCCCGAGGGAGAAAAATACATATTATAACTACCACTATGCCTCAATCCCAAGTTTGTTGTGTTGGCTATATGAATCGTTACTATCCATGTAGCTTTGTTTAAGCCCGTCTTAATCCCAATATATTATAACAGAAATAAAAACTTGAGCCGAACACGTTTCCACAAATTCAAAGCATACGCAATAAGACAGCTTAAGGCAAATGCCAGTGGCATGAAAGACGAACCTTTACAAAGAAGCCCCTCAAGCAAATTCTTCAGCAGCGGATTCATACCATCAGGGAGAGCGAGGGGGTTATTTACTATCTGGGAATACAAAATGAAGACTGTTAAAAGAAGCTTGAAACCAAAGGACTTAACCTTGTATCATACATCTGGAACAAGAGTTGACCCGTACCTTGTCATATGTGTCCTGGAGTGTGTCTCCTAGAAATGGGTATTTTCCTAAAACCATACAGTAAAGGGCGACACCAACTGCCCATGTATCAGCAGCTTTTCCATGATATGTTAGTCCTATTAATAAGAAGAAAACACTTCAGTAAGTAAAAAGTTTATTTAAATGTCAATTTTGGAGGACCAAAGACTCTAACCTAAACAGCACTCGGGAGCAGTAAAAACCGGAGTGCCAGGAGACCGCCTAAGCTCATCATTATCAACCTACAAAAAAGCAGTTCACTAATGTTAGCAATTAACTGAAAGAGCAAAAAGTAAGATAAGATAATGGCAAATATAACTTAACCCAACCACCCTAAACCCTTCAGCCCCAGAATTTAGAACAAAAGGATATAAATAAACAGCATCAAGAGCCCCCTCTCCCAAGGGCCTTCAAATGCAAAAGGTATGCATATTATCGATGAGTACAGCAGAGGCTGCCAGAGAACAATGAAGGTGACAGGAAAAATAACTTTCTCCAAGTAAAACCTGAGGGCAAGCTCTTTGTACCAGTACATACTCGGATACGGGTACGGGTATACAATACATGTATGGATCTAGAGGTCGGATTCGTTATCTCACAAACTTAAAGATTCGGGGATATGGGTCGAAGTATGGATACGGGCGCTAGGATACGAGCAATAAGTATATAAGAATAATATATTTGACAATTAGTTATTTAAGATTGTTGGAAAAAAATATATTTTTCGATTAATACGGTGACTTGAATCCATTATTGTTAATTAAGTTAAACAAAAAATGACTATTAGTAATTATAAGTTGATACAAGTATTAGTATTTTTTAATCTTAGGATTCGGGAGTAGGGCCAGGATTATTGGTACGGGTATTAATATGTAGTCAAGAAGAAATGTAACTACGACATTTAAAGTATATATTTTGACAATTAATTGAAGTTATTAAATTAAAGCTAGTATAGTTACATTTTTTGTACACACTTATATTTTATATATAAATTATCTCGTATAATAGCAAAGTGTTCTAGTACTTTACTGAATTTACATATGACAAACCTAAAATCAAACCAAATACCCAATCAGCCTATATTTCTTGGCCACAGGTGTAGTCAAAATATCAAAGTTAGGGTCACCAAATTCAGTGCAGATCCTGCACTCACACCCAAATCGTGTCGGATCGATGGTGTGGCAAGAATTTTGAAGGGTCCGAGCAACATATCACATCAGAAGGAGAAAGAGAAAGCAGGGAAAACAGGCAGGTGGAAGTTAGACCCACAATTCACACTCCCTGCTTCCATGCAAACAATGTGCTGAACAGGGCCAGTGATCCCTGAGGTACATATTCATCTCTCATATATCTAACAGCTCACAAAATGATGCTTGGACAATAAATTGAAAGGAGTCAGATCAAGGTCTTCAACAGCTAGATCAGGGAAAACACCAAGAATCCGTAAGTGCAGAACAGATACGACAGAACTACAGAAGTACAGTAACTAACATATGCTGCGTGCCGAATAAGTCAAGGGAAGCACGCAACTTTGAAAGACCCACAGCCTACATCCCCAGTGGGAAAAATGAAGAAAAAAAACTCAAAAACAGACCCTTGTACATGAGTCTACATAAAAGGAAATTCAGAAGAAAACCATTGTTCCTTTTTAATAAATAAAGCCGAAAAAACCATTGTTGAAAAAGGTCATACCTCAAAAGCTTGGCTAACGCTGAAATCACCAATCTTCACCCTGCCAGAGGCCGTAACTAAAAGATTGTCTGGCTTAATATCCCCATGGATTATATTCTGTTCAAGAGAAGAAAAAATATATATGTTAAACTGCATAAAGCACATTACAGTGATCTATCAATGACATATAGGTATCTGCTAAGCCTTAAAATTAGTGATACGTGATTTAAGGAATTTAAAGAAAATGCTTGTGTCCAAAGGTTTCATCTCCGTGTTCACATTTAACATAGTAGTCATATCGATAAACCCTGCAGGAAAGAAAGTGACCCCTCACTTGGGTCCCCGACTTTCTTATACCTCAAGTTAAAGGACTGCGCTTATGCAAAGAATCTCATAGGCAGTATGACATGCTTACAACTAGCTGAACAAACAATTTCTAAAATGAACAAAGTCATGATTCAGGTCAAAATAGCTACCTTCCCCAACAAATGGGAAAGAGGGAGGGAAGAAGGCCATTTGCAAAGGAGACTAATCGTAGTTGACAAGCCTAACAACTATAGCAGCAACTACACTACAATTTCAAGCTAGTTCGGGACAGACCATAATGCTCCACTAAGGATAGGCTATGTGAATCCTCACAAAACCATGTCACTCCATTTAGACCTGCAGCAATAAAATTTGAAGATTTGGGCCCTTTAGCACAAGAGTTTTCTACATTTTTCACAGAAATACAAATCATTAACGCGACAAAAGACTCCTATCAAAAAAACCTTAATCACACCTAATTGGTTATGCCAATTTGGATCTTTTCTTCCATTATGTTCTATTTTGTATCAAGTCTGCATGGATTCCAAGAGATTGTAGGTCTTTTTCTCTAACTTTTATCCTCTATTATGTGCTACTTGCACCTTCTGACTTTCATGAAATTCCTAGCTCGCTATCTATATCTGAGATGTTGGGATTTTTCAAAACTCAATGAATGTGCAGAAAAGAAATGTTAACCCCACTCGGACCACTGATAGAACTTTTACTTGTTCAAATATGTGACACCCCCACCCGTGGTAATGTGGACGCACAAAGGTATTCAATTTGAAAACCAGTTGCATGCTCATAACCTAAGCAAATAGACAATTTCAAAATGGGTTCAAAGCCCAATATACATAACACGTCCGACAAGTACTACCTGAGTTAACCAAAATTTAACTACGAATCCCACGGGGTAACCATGGAGTTTCTAAAGACAAAATAGAATACAACATATCATGGGGACACAACCCGCTAAGGCAAGAGAATGAAAAACTAATACAAATTCCGCCACCGGATTCATAATATGGGGCTTATCAAAGAATAAGAAAAGGTTGAGTCTAATGTATCACCGTCACACTGCACACTTGCATCGGTAAATTTAAAGAAGACCATGAGTACATTATGTACTCAGCAAGTCTCATAGAATCCCTCCAAAATGTGAGACAAGTCTTTCAGAAAACACACATAAGACTATAAGAGTATCTAAAAATCACAACCCAAAGTACATGTTTAATAGCAATATTATAATCACATTCGTAAACAGTTCTCATTTTATTGCGGCTGTAGCTGCCATGGTAAACACATTTGTTAATACAATTGAAATAATTCTTTAAAACATATTTTGTCTCTTAGGCTTCAAGTGTAAACATAATCTCTTTTAAGGCCTCAAGCATAAACATACTCTCTTTCTACGGGCGGTTCTACTTAGATCCTTACTTAAATTCACCATAAGCATCTAATGTGGTTGACCCAACCTCCCGATCAGCAAGGCTTATGTCGACATGTTACACCATGTATTGTTCGTGTCGGTCAAGCCAAACTCCCACATGTCGGGACATGTACCAATTATTTTCATCACGTGATGTACATGGCGGACAAGTCAACCTCCCGCTTGCCGGAGCTTATACCAATTATTTTCAGCATGTGCTCTCCATGGTGGACGAGGCAACCTCCCACTTACCAAGGCCTAGTTTCACCATGTACTATTCATGGCGGACAAGCAAATCTCTTGCTTATCAAGGCTTATATGACTTAAGGGTCATTTGGTTCACTTACTAGTCATGCAAGATGATAATGCAGGGACTGTTTATGCGGTGATTAATGAGAAAGGGATTGTTATGCGGTGGTTAATAATGAAGGCATTGTTACACATGATATCTTTCAATATTCATAATTTTAAATGACATAGTAATTCAAGATACACCAATCATTTCATAAGATAGTCCATTGATGCACATTGTTGAGTTGTCCCATATCGGTGAGATTTGAGATCTTTGGTCTCCTTATATGGTCTTGGGCAATCCTCACCTCACAAGCTAGCTTTTGAGGTTGAGTTAGGCTCAAGGTCCACTTATCACACATATTTGCAAAACATGGTGCGACGCACACCCACAAGCATAAGTCCCTATTTCAAAACCTATTCGAAAGCATTTAAAGCATGCAATTTTGGAAAAAAACACCTTAAGATGTAAGCTCTCCACTTACCTAAATCTTGGCGTACCAACAACATTTTACGGTCTCAACATGTCCAACAAGTTGTATCATTTACGATTTAATTCATGATATTCAACACTTTAAGTATTCACCATAGAGTAGACCATTCAAGGTCTACAAGATAGTGGCTAAGGTTTTAATTGACAGTCTACAAAAGGTGATTGGGAGACTGGCCTCAGGGTACCAAAATGCATTTATTAAAAGTAGGCAGATCACTGATGTTGCCCTTATTGCTAATGAAGTCCTAGATTGGAGGCAGAAAAAGTGGTGAAACTTGGCCTTTTATTCAAGCTTGATATTGAGAAGGCTTTTGACAAACTAAATTGGCAATATCTAATCTCAATCCTAAGGCAAATGGGATTTGGAGAGAAATTGATCAAATGGATCAGATATAGCTTCACCACAATGAAGTATTATGTACTTGTTAACAGAAGTCATATAGGCTTCTTTTCTCCTAAAAGAGGGATCAGGCAAAAAGATCCCATATCTCACTTTCTATTTATCTTAGCCATGGAGGGGCTTAGTAGAATGCTGGAATAGACCAAGCAGCTGCAATGGTTACAAGGTTTTGATGTGGGTAGCAACTCAAAATTGACAGTTTCTGTATCACACTTATTATTCGCAGATGACACCCTTATTTTTTGTGGTGCTGAAAAATCTCAAGTTCAGTAACTTATCCTCACTCTTATGCTTTTTGAAGCTATGTTAGGTCTCACATTAACATGTCTAAAAGCATTATTTACCCTGTTAATGTGGTCCCTGAATTGGAAGAGCCGGCAGATATTATGTATTGCAACACTGGTTCCTTCCCTACCACATATCTTGTCTTCCTTTGGGTGCTAGACAAAGGACAACTGAAATCTGGAATGCAGTCGTTGAAAAGTCTGAGAAAAGATTAGCTTCTTGGCAGCAGCACTACCTATCTCTAGGTGGCAGATTAGCACTCATCAATAGTGTTTTGAACAACATACCTACCTATTTCATGTCTCTCTTTCCAATTCTAGTCAAAGTGCAAAGATAGCTTGACAAGATTAGGAGATCTTTCCTATGGGAAGATAATAGCTCCAACCACAACTTCCACTTAGTCAAATGGGCCAAAGTTACACTTCCCCAAGAGGTCTTGGGGTCAAAGACCTAGCACTTCACAACAAGAGCATGTTAATGAAATGGCACTTGAGGTATAACCAAGAAGAGGTTGGCCTTTGGAAGGAGATAGTTCAAGCAAGTATGGGGTTAATAGTCACTGGTGTACCAACGTTGTTAGATCACTTTATGGTACTGGGTTATGGAAGGATATCAGGAAACTATGGGAAGACTTCTCTTGCAACACATCTCTTCAGGTGGGAAATGGGGCACTCATTCAATTCTGAAAAGACAAATGACTAGGACACATTACACTAAAGGAGGCCATTCCAAGATCTTCCTAGTTGCAACCAACTCAAATTCCACCATTGCTCAAACCTGGGAGGACAGCACATGGAGACTGAACCAAAGAAGGGACCTTAATGACCGGGAGATTAAAGATTTGTCTGTACTTCTTGAAAGCTTCAGAACAGCTCAGTCAACAACCATAGCAGAGACATACTCAAGTGGAGCAATACTCAAGTGGAGCAATAGCAGGAAAGGCACTTACCCAGTAAAAGCAAGTTATTTTCAATTAAGCTCTAACAAAGACTTAATTGATCAATGGTCTTGGAAACTAGTTTGGAGAACAAAATTACCACCAAATGTCACCTGTTTCAGCTGGATCACTTTAAAAGGAGCATGCTTAACTCAGGACAATCTCATCAGGAGGAACTTTCAATTACCTAACAGTTGTTACATGTGCCTTTGCAACACAGAGACAATTAGTCACATGTTTCTTCATTGCCCAGTTGCAACACGCATATGGAACATGTTTTTGTCACTTTTTGAACTGCACTAGACAATGCCATGCAATGTCAGGGAGGCCTTCTTGAGTTAGAATGCCCAGAGAGTTGAGAAGTCCATCAAAAGAATATGGTCTATGATTTCTGCTTATATTTTATTTGATGAAGTAAGGTGTTTCATTAAAAAAGCATCAAGAAGATGCCTAGTTACATAGTTGCAGGAGGCCTAGTTACAAAAGACAAACAAAAGAGAGAAGCTAGGCCCTATACAAAGTATCAATCTAGGACAAAAGTACTACGATTTCTGCTTGTATTTTGTGGTGTATATGGACCGAAAGGAATCAAAAATGTTTTGATGGCATTTCAACTACCAACTATGCACTCAAGTCCAAATGTATAGTTAATCTTTATAGCTAGGTTAATTTTACACATGTATATAACCCTGATTTATTTGGAATTTATCAGCTCCTTAGTATTACAATAGTTTTTTTGTCATTGGGTCGAGCAATCTTCATCTCATGAGCTAGATTTTGGAGTTGAGTTAGGCCCAAGTTTCATTTATCGATCTACCTATGTGTGTGTGTATACAACAACAACAACAACAACCCAGTATAATCCCACAAGTGGGGTCTGGGAGGGTAGAGTGTTCGAAGACCTTACCCCTACCCCCAGGGATGTGTGTGTGTATATGTATATATATATATGATAGGATACCTCTTTAATGCCAAATTCATAGTTTCTCCTCTTTGGGAGATTTAATAATCAAGTCAAAAATCAATGTTGTTGATGTTAGGGCTAGTATTAATGGATTATAACTACACCAAAAAACCATGATTACACTTACATGGGTGATTAATGTTTGATCTTAGAGTAAAAATCCTCCCACAAACAAGCTCCCTTGTCCTTGTTCCGAGTCAAAAACCCAAAATGAGTTTTATATAGGTGTTGGACTTCAACTAATCGCGCTATAACGCGACTATCGCATTCCGGGGAAGTCCAATTTTTCTTCTTTGTGAGATAGTCTCACCTACACCTGTGTCGACACCATTCGATAAAAAGGTCATAACTTTTTTATATAGAGCTTTGATTGACAAACGGTATAAAACGTCGGAAGCTACATTTCAAGGACTACATTTTTGCTTCATGAACCATAGGTAGATTCGATATATATTAAGAGATAAATCTTTTTGAAAGGCCTTCTAAAAACTTAGGCTTTGTTTCGCTTGTTAGAATTTCTCGCCCCTTGCATTATTTTCCAACTCCTCTTGTTTTTATGCTTACCATCTCATCTCATTTCAATCATCCACCAAGCATATACCCACTATCTTAACACATTATATCAGTTTTCCTTTCACGACACTAGCCTATTTATAGGAACTAAGCGTCTCTCCCTACTCGCATAACGTGAGCCAGCCGCGATGCCTAGTGGCCTACGCAGGACCCCTCATCGCAATAGCGCCGCGACTTGGCCCAACTATGATGTCTCATCACTTAGGCAAAATGTTGTTTCATGCGATAAAAGACCCCATGTAGCTGAGATTTTTTCTAACTCCAACTTTTGTTTCTAATTGTTAGCTTTTCTTCTAACTCAAAAATTAACTCTTTGTAGTTACAAAATTACTTTAACACAACTCCAAACCATATCTAACATATATGTTCATATTCCAACCATATAATCCATATCATATAACATTATTTTCACATATTACCATGCATTTATAACGCAATTAAGCATGAAATTGACTTAACTAATTGAAACTTTCAGGGACATTACATTCTCCACACCGCGAGACTATCGCACTAAGAAAAAATGAACTTCCCATGTGCGCACTATAACGTGAGTAATTAAAATCAATACCTTTATAAATCTCCATTTCTAAATTGAGTTCAAAACAAGAAGAAGGGAGCTAAGGATGCACACTGCCTTACCCCTACACTGGAAGGGCAGAGAGGCTACATTGATATTTTACTAGATTAACAAATTTCTCAAGAAACCACCCAAAAGGGAGAACTTTGAGTTGGGCCACAAAGAGGTAATCTTATCACTTGAAATTCATATATATATATATATGTGTGTGTGTGTGTGTGTGCGCGCCCCCGCGCGCGCTAGGCAAGAGAATTCATATGTGGGGCTCATAAAGGAATAGGAAAAAATTAAGCCTAGCTTGTATAGTTGTCGTAGTGCACACCTACATCTGTAGAATCATACAATTTGGACACGAGTACATAAAATACTCAGTAAGCTCATACACTTCCTCTAAAAGGTGGGACAAATCTTGTAGTACAGCATGCATCAGTTTATCTCAAATTCTAGGCTTTCAGTGAAATCTTGTTTCACCCATACCATATACCATTCAAGTCATTTGTGGTCTTACAAGACCACTAATTCACCCCAACTACTATTCATCATTTTCTCCGGCACCCAACAACCACCATTAATGCCCCTCAAATTGGTTCTTCTGAAAGTTTCATACAATTTAAGATAATACACAAAACATTTACCGTACAGACACACTCACACATATATATATATATATATATATATGTCCCGATCATATGTTGTATTCCATAAAATGTATATAAGGTCCATGATGACCCTATGAGAGTTCACAATTGTATTTGGGGCTACTCAAGTGATATAGCCCTTCTAGAACGTGTTATGTATAAATGATTGTGCTACGGACCAACGTATTGGAATTGTCTATGTGCAATTTTATTAGCATAAAAAGGGTTGGTTTTGAAATTGGACGCCCTTACGCACGGTGGTCACATTATCTCGGGACTTGATCTACTACTATTATTACTACTATGATCGACCCAAATAAGTTGGGGTCGACTATACGTATACCCATGTTACTTCTTATAAACTCATCTCATACCAATATTACTAAAAGTAAGAACAAAGGAGAATGATTGATTTCTAAATTAAAGCACTAGCCTCTCATTTTCATTCTAAAAACATTGCATTTATCCATCAACCAAAATGACCACTGAATCACCACACCATCCAGTAGCCACCACCCACCACATTAAACTTAATGGTTGCTCATCCATAAACACATATACAACAACACATTTCGAAAATCCACCCACAGACACCATTAAACTTCACCTCAACCACCACCTCAATAAGAAAAAACTTGTTGGACGAGTACACAGCGGACAAGCAATGAAGTTCTTCTGATGATTGACAACCACCAAGCATGTTACAACGGAGAGCGCCAGCGTAATACACGTAAACCTTGTAACCGATTGGAGCGTTGTATACCTCTTTAATCATCATTGATTACTTCTCTAACGTCTCCCGAATCGCAGATAAACGATGAATATAAATGATAGCTTTCTCCTTTTGAAAGAAAAAAAAAACTCCTAAATAGCTTATCAAATTGCAGCAGCAAAAGGCACCAAACTCTAGCTTAGATTAAAAAAAGTTCATCTTTTGACGTAGCAATGCAAGCACTGACCCCTACAAATTTTAAACTGAGAACCCCACCACCACGTCAACTTTTTGTAGAATAGCTTTCTCCCACTTGGGTTCTTTACTTTCAGACAGGGTTGTGGTTGTTGTGATGGAGATGTAGAGGGGGGAAACTTGCCGAATTGGTGGTTGTGGTGGAGATGTAGTGGGGAGAAAACTTGCCGAATTGGTGGTAGAATATGCTGGCGGAAATCGATGAAATGGGAAGAGATGTGGGTGGGTGAAAGATTGTTGCCGGAAAGTAGAAGTTGTGGAAGAAGTTGGGAAAGGGGGTCCGTTTTGGTTTTTTATATAGAGGAGAAATTGGTTTTTTAACTTTTTTAATAATTCTATTTCTTTTTCTAGGTACATGTGGCAATTATTCTCTTAAAAATTACACATGTCATCATAATTCTATCTATGTATTTCGCATAAAAAATAAGGTGAAGCACGGTCAGGCAAGTCTCTTTTGATAAAGAGATCTATTTTGCACGTTCGTTATGTGATCATGTCTATCTTTTCTAACCTTGATAAAAAAGAAAGATCATGTATTACCACATAGCTATCTTAATATTACCATTTATACAAAACTGCACCATTCTCTTCCATATAACATTTTCGGTCTTATAATCCTTCTACATAACATGTCTTCCACTTTGATAGGTATCTCCTTATCGCTTAATACTCCAATAGCCTTTTCCATTTTTGAATAACCACCAATAGCCTTTTCAATTTCAACTGTAGCATTTTGAATTTATGTGTAACATCTTCATTTATCATATTATTCTCCTAAAACATAGAGCCTGTTTGCATTTAGGGCACGATCTCGTCTCACCTCAAATTCACTCTTCTTATGCTGGCTAAACTCCATGGCATCTATCCAGTCGTACTATTTATCCTAAAGCCATTTTGTTTAAACAGGAAAAGAGCATGTAATATATTTATCCTTAAACCTTTAGGAGTACAACAACAACAACCCAGTATAATCCCACTAGTGGGGTCTGGGGAGGGTAGTGTGTACGCAGACCTTACCCCTAACATGAGGTAGAGAGGCTGTTTCCAATAGACCATCGGCATCCTTCCCTCCAAGAACTTCCCACCTTGCTCTTGGGGTGACTCGAACTCACAGCCTCTTGGTTGGAAGTGGAGGTTGCTTACCATCAGAGCAACCCCTCAGTTTAAACCTTTAGGAGTCATTTGGTTAAAAAATAGTTATATCAAGATTATAATACGAGGATTAAATAATAACGGGATTACTTAGTGGATATACTTTTTTGACAGATGTTTAGTTCACTGGATTAAAAATGGGATATACAAAGTATAATATAAAACATGTAATTTTTTTTACAAAAGATAAACCTGGATTAAACTTCTATCTCCAATTTTCACATTGTCTTTCTTAAAGGACTTTGGAAGAGAAATTTTGAAGAAGGGCATTTTGGTCATTTGATTGTTTTATCCCTGGATAGCTAATCCCAAAATTGTCGATTGCTTATACCGGAAACAAAAATTCAACCAAACACGAGATTGAATAATCTCATATTCTATCAAGGTTTTAATTTTCTCTAACCCATAAACCAAACGACCCCTTGTTGTATAAAGTGCTTTTGGTTGATGGTTTCACTAGTTTTATCAAGCCAAAGCAACCTAGAAATTAAAGGTAAGCATTTCATTCCTCAAACACATTAAAATAGAGCACGGAATTGTACACGAGGAACAACTTACCAATCCCATACACCAAGATTATAAATATTTAGTCAAAGTGTGCCAATACTTCAAATTAGAACTCAACAGTCAATCAAGAATAACATAATTAACCCAATACATAACTGGAAGTGGAGTTTCTCTGGACAAGGTATATGCCTTCAAGAATGCCCTTAGCATAAATTAGTGATGAAGCCTTTAAGATCAATTACATTAAGAAAAATCCACACAAAGGTCATGATGCACAGAAAAGCTCATGAGACATGATTCAACGAAAATATATTTCTTTCAAAGACATGACTAAAAGACTAGGTCATACATGAGAATGTAGATACATCAAGCCGGATACCGTGTCGCGCAAGTACGTCCGTGCCTTATGTTCTCCGAGACCACCTGCCGGACCAGCACCCTCACAGACCCATTTTCCTTCAACGTATTCAAGAACTGTTTGAAACCAAAAAAGAAAAGGAAAAATAGCTTAGGATTTTCTGGGATTCCCTTTTTTTTTGGGTACTTTGGTTCCCTCTTTCCATTCACCAAAATATGATTCAATATACAGAGCAAGCCAAAAGCTGACTCATTTAAATGAGGTTGGTTTATAGGAAAAGGGATGTTCAAGGAATACCCATGTAGAAGTGATCCGTTGTTGGGTCATCAATCACCTCAATAAGATTAACTATATTGGGATGGCACAGCATTTTCATGATCAGAACCTGTAAAAATGGGAATAAACATTTAGGCCATAATAGTTTATGAGAATAAAAAATGTAATAGGTAGCTGGGTCATATAATAAAACAGGAGTGACATAGGGCAATCCATCTCAAACTTAGTTGGCACACAGTAAAACAAAAGTAATCAGACATTCTTAACAAATATAAAGACTAACACTACCAAATCTTACACAGTGAGGAGTCCTTTTTGTTCTTTATTGATAAATCAAACTGAGAAGCCTAAGGATAGAGTAGAACAGTCAAAATTTTCAAGTTGATCTATGGCTAAGGTTCAAAGTCAAGAGAATCATCAAGATTGTGTAAATATCACTTGTTATCAGAAAAAATTAAGAATATTATGCAGAATGTAGACATACAACAGTTGAATTTATCATTAATCATTAATGACTAGGTCATTATTAAGAATTCCAAGAATTAGAAAAAAATTTCTTACTTCATAGTTCATATAACTAAGATCTCCTATAAGTATCTATGCCGTACTTATTTAAAATAAATAAACAAATAAATAGAGCCCCGTGTATGTCTTTAATCAGCCAATTTTAACAAGAGAATTTTCTTTTCTGCACTTTTTATGATATCAGAGAATCTACAATCTTGATAGAGACATAAGTAGCTTCTGCATACTGATAGGTGACCTTCCATCTCTTACCAAGCCCAAACTTTTCTGATTCTAAATAAGTTTACTATTCTTGCATCTTTCAATTGATCGTTCTAGAATAACCACTTTTATTTTTAGTAATAATTGTTTGACTTCGCCACTTATTAATTACCACTCCGATAATATAGAGCCACTTCATAGTGATCATTCTATCAGCACCATCTCTATCTCTTCTGACGACTATCACATTTATTCTTGTAACAGCTTTTTATTTTGGGACAACAACTTGCATGTACCTCAACTAATCTACCAGATACCTGCTACCTCCTACCAGCATAGATGTCGTTCACCAAAGCTTAGGCAAATCAAAAGAATTCACCTAGTATCGACTCTGCTGGGATTTGAAACTTGGTTCCCAAAATTATCACTCTTAACTCTTCGACCGCTAGGCCACCTCCTTGGGGGCTTTCTTCAAGCGATTTTTCAAGCAAAACATTTTCAAAACTCTTTTCTTTTTTCTCCATGTATCAGTTTCGTGATATTAAGTCCCTCCTCTAAATAAGAATTCCGGTCAATATTTCGAAAAAGTTTTCCTCTTCATTTTCTTCATGGCACTAGAGTTTGGGTATTAAATCCCTCTTTTGAACACTAGTATTAGCACCCGCACGGATGCGCGGACACTAATCATGTCAAATGATTAAGTTATTTGGATTATATGTAAATAATCTTAAAATTTAAGCTTTCTCGGTAAATATAGATAATCATTGGATATTAATAAAAAATAATACATGAAAAAAATTAACCATTTCTTCTATTTTTCTTTTTTGAGACCATTCTCGCCGGTGTCAGTGTATCCTATAATAGTCAGGAAGCAAAATAATAACTCATATTTATGGCAAAACAATCAAATGTTGAGACTATGAATGACTTTTGATACGACTTGACTCTTTTACTACTACTTGAACTCTTATTTTGTGTGTTGATATCTCTTAAAAAAATATTTCTTGTTTAAAATTTCAGTTTCTAAAATTTTATTTTTCAATAATAATTATTTTTATAATAATGTAAGTGAAAATATTATCCTTAATTCAAAACTCATTTTAGTTGGCTATCTAAATATTTAAAAAATTCTTTAGCCAGTGAATGTTTTTTTCCAGTATGACTCCATTTTGATAATTGACATTAACCATGTTAAATATCTGAGTTATTTGAATTATATGTAAATAATTTTTAATACCCTATATATAAAAAAAAAAATATTCTTTGAATCATTAAATGTTAAATTAGTTGATTGTTATTATATAACATTGCATATATTGTCTTAAAATTGCCAAGTAGTTTATTTTTCGACACCATACTTGGCTTAACCTCAATGCAAACTACTCAAATTGCATTTAAATTCAAATTCGAATATCATATCAGTTTGTTAGTAATAGTGATTTTGTAAAAACGACACACAATGTAAATAAAAAAAATATTCTAAGATATCCTTATCTTATAATTTATGTATTTGAGTGGAATTGAAATCGATGAGATTAGCTTCCAAATTTTTTATACTCAACAAAGATGACGACTTGACTCTTTTACTACTACTTGAACTCTTATTTTGTGTGTTGATATCTCTTAAAAAAATATTTCTTGTTTAAAATTTCAGTTTCTAAAATTTTATTTTTCAATAATAATTATTTTTATAATAATGTAAGTGAAAATATTATCCTTAATTCAAAACTCATTTTAGTTGGCTATCTAAATATTTAAAAAATTCTTTAGCCCGTGAATGTTTTTTTCCAGTATGACTCCATTTTGATATTTGACATTAACCATGTTAAATATCTGAGTTATTTGAATTATATGTAAATAATTTTTAATACCCTATATATAAAAAAGAATTATTCTCTGAATCATTAAATGTTAAATTAGTTGATTGTTATTATATAACATTGCATATATTGTCTTAAAATTGCCAAGTAGTTTATTTTTCGACACCATACTTGGCTTAACCTCAATGCAAACTACTCAAATTGCATTTAAATTCAAATTCGAATATCATATCAGTTTGTTAGTAATAGAGATTTTGTAAAAACGACACACAATGTAAATAAATAAAAAAATTCTAAGATATCCTTATCTTATAATGTATGTATTTGAGTGGAAAACAATATTTGAAATCGATGAGATTAGCTTCCAAATTTTTTATACTCAACAAAGATGAAACATAAGAAGAAATTCGTTGTCATCTTTTATTTCTGGTTTTTAGATCTTTCATACATTTTTTTCAATATTTATTTTCTTTTATCTTATTTTTTATGTCATTCTTTCTTTTTTTACAAAAAAATAATTTATTTCACTATAAAAGGATGAGTTTTAATAGAAATTATCTACATAAGAACTTTATTTATAATTTTAGTTTTTGGTTGAAATTCTTTCATATTTTTCTTTTGGCTTTATCTAATCAGCCTAAATAGGTGCTCACCCGACCACTTAAATTAAAAAATTGAAGGATGTGTAATTTATATATAATCCATATATAATATGTGTATAATCGTGTGTTGTCGGTATATCATTTATTTATATTAGCTATAAAAAGTAAACAATAAATCTGGCCGGATATTTATGTAACATATTCCGTAAGATTTCGGTTTTTGAGTTTATCCAAGATATGACTTCTGTTATAATAATTTTAAAAATTCTCTACTAATGCTCAAAAATATCTTATCCTTTTATTATCTTTGAAGTAGAAAAAAGTTAAGAGTTTTTTCGAAATAATTTGTTTACATTTTAGAAAAACAAATGTCTCACGTCATACCAATTTTTTTTTAAAAATAAACTCTTTGTTACACTTGAAAATCGCTATAGAAAGTATCAATTAGAAATCAATATCTCTCTTGTTGAGTTCTAGAAAAAAAAAACCTTTCACATAATCTAATGATTCAAAACAAATATTCTTCAACGAAAATAATATTATACCCTTGCAATATTGGCTTGACTGCAGCTAAATGAAAGGGTTTCAGCTTATACCCTTCAATTCCTAAAATGTCCTAAATTGAAATTAATGATAGCAATTGTATAGCCAAAGTTTTGTTATTTGTTTCATGTCCATTTATACAAATTGACTCTTCAAGCAATTATTCTTCAAAAAGAAAAGAAAAAACAGCTTCTTCTTTTTTTTAATATTGACTGGTTTTTGTGATGTTTCTTTCTCCGGCATGTATGTTTACTTCATTATATATGTAAGTAAACTTTTATTCGAATTTTAAACTCTTTTTTGTTATTTGGATAAACATAGACGTGTACCCTATATATTACATTTATTTAAAAAGAAATTCACTTTATTCAAATCTAGTTACAGTGTTTTAAAGAACTATATTATAGGGTTTTAAATTTGAAAGAGTTTTATAGTTATATGGAATAGTTTTTTTTTGCCAGAGGCGAAGTAGTATTTAAATAATTAGAAAAGATAATAAAAGTTCCTAAC